TTGAAAGAGGGTGGGATGCCCAGGGACCTGGGCCTTCCCAAAGGTCAGTGTGGCTGGAACTTAGTGAGCAGGCTGAAGGCAACACCAGGGGAGATTTCTAAGCATGTGGGGCAGGTGGTGGCATGTTTGTGTTCTAAGGACGACCCTGGCCACCGTGTGGATAGTGGATGGTGGGATCGAGAGGGAGGATGGTGGTCATGCAGGCGACAGGAGAGGTGAGCCAGACCAGGGGAAAGGAGAACAGTTTACACACCTGTTTAGGAGGTGACTGAACAGGCCTTGGTCCAGTAAGGGAATGATTTTCCTCTATTTGTACCATGGGGAAATTCATGATCCAAAATTCTGTGCCATATCCTCCTAGTTTGATTTTGGGCAGGACACCACTATTACCAGTTTCTGGTTAAAATTCTTTGTCAGAAGAAATATATTCCTATTTAATTGCTCGCATGGAAATGTCAATTTTTTAAGGAAGTTCTTGTGTACTGAATCAAGTACTTTTTTTTTCCATTTATTTTTATTAGTTGAAAGCTAATTACTTTACAATATTGTAGTGGTTTTTGTCATACATTGACATGAATCAGCCATGGATTTACATGTATTCCCCATCCCGATACCCCCTCCCACCTCCCTCTCTACCCAATCCCTCTGGGTCTTCCCAGTGCACTAGGCCCAAGCACTTTTCTCATGCATCCAACCTGGGCTGGTGATCTGTTTCACCCTAGATAATATATATGTTTCGGTGCTGTTCTCTCAAAACATCCCACCCTCGCCTTCTCCCACAGAGTCCAAAAGTCTGTCCTGTACATCTGTGTCTCTTTTTCTGTTTTGCATATAGGGTTATCATTACCATCTTTCTAAATTCCATATATATGTGTTAGTATACTGTAATGGTCTTTATCTTTCTGGCTTACTTCAAATATACAGAGTGAATCAAGTACTTTGGTGTTAAGTTGGGTGTATTTTATTTGTGCTATTCATTATAATCAAGAGCACATTGTAAGCAGTGTGGAGAATAAATCTAACATTTCTAAAATGGCGGAAGTGTCTAGAACAGATATAGAAGACATGGTACATCTAGGTACATGGTACAGATCTAGAAGACATGGGACATATATTTTGCCTCTATTTTCAGGGTCTAGAGCACACACATACACTTTGTATTTATCTGTTCCCTTTTAACACTCTAAAGCAGATATTTATTAATTCTGTACATCTGGTTTTGTTTTGTTTTGTTTTGTTTCTTTTCAATTATGGTTAAGATACACACCAGATAGCTCAGTGGTAAAGAATCTGACTGCCAATGCAGGAGATGCATTCCCTGGGTCGGGAAGATCCCCTGGAGAAGGAACTGGTGACCCACCCCAGTTCTCTTTCCTGGAAAATTCCAAGGACAGAGGAGCCTGGCAGGATATAGTCCATGGTGTCAGAAAGAGTCGGACATGACTGAGTGACTGAGCAAACATACCATTCAGTGTATTCTAAACATTCATAATGTCATATAGCTATCACCACCACCACCTTCTCCAGAACTTTTCATTTTACAAAACTGAAACACCATACCCAGTAAACAATTGTACATCTGATTGGAAAGGGTGATGCTTGTCTGATATCAAAGGAGACACATATTTTATAGGGTAAAGCCAAAATTTTCTCCCTCTCTGTGTAAAGAACCCTAAAGTACATGCACAGAGTTGAAAATAAAGAATTCTTGGATGAGTGGAGGAGCATTTGACTTTAGAGTCCTTTGCTCACTTTATGAGGAATTTGAAAGTATTGATATCATAGATATCTCATCCATAGGATGAGAGCATGATGTGAGGCCATAATCTTATGCACCGTGATATTTGATCTCTTATATCCCATCATGAAAAAGGGATTCTAAAAAGTGAGGCAAAGATGTCTTTTGGAGACAATGGAAATTAATCAGTGTACAAAACCCAATGTGCCACGTGGCTAAACAAAAGAATGGGAGTGTGATCCTAGGCAAATTAGTTAGGTATTTATTTATTTATTTAATTTAAATTTGTGCACACAGCTTGCAGGATCTTAGTTCCCTGACCAGGGATTGAACCTGTGCTCTCAGCAGTGAAAGTGCAGTGTCTTAAACATTGGACCACCAGGGAATTCCCTGACTCTTTTCTATTTTATCCTACTAGCAAAAGCTCTGATGTGGAGGCAGGTAGGTTAACTACTAACACAAATGGCTAACAACAAGTATGGACTCAGTTGTTAGCTGGCTTTAAAAACTTGACTTGTTCTCAATAGACATTCTTTTCCTTAAATGTTTTACCAGGAATAATGCAAAGTCAAGTGGATGAGGTGATTTGATCCCAGCCATCAAGTTTCAACACTGTTCTTTGCTAAGTCAGCGCTGTGCCAGAGCCTGCCTGTGAGCTTCTGTGTTTGCGGGGATGGCAGGGAGCAGGGGGTTCCCATCCCAGGGGGTGTCAGAAATTCTTGGCGATGTCTCTCTTCTATGAGCATTCTGAATTTTCTCTTTGTTTCCTTTTAAACATGTTTTATTATGGAAAGTTGCAGTATTCTTAAACTAGGGAATAATATTACAGCCCCCCATGGAGCCATTATATAGGTCAAACAGTTCTTAACATTTTGCCATGATTGCTTCATCTTGTTTTATGTGTCTAGGCTAAACATTAGGCATTTTACTGCTGAATAGTTTTGTGTGCATCTTTAAGAAATAAGGACCTTTGGGGCCTCTTCTCACTGCATAATTGACCTGTGACCACTGTGTAATTCTCCTGTCTAGAGCAGTGACCATCCCTTCACAGCATCTATCCAGTCTGTTCCTCTTTTCCCTGCTGTCCCGAAGGTGTCCCCTTGCAGTGGTTTGTTTGCCTCCGGAACCAAATCAAATCCATGTGTTACCTTCTGGTGGTTCAGTCGTAAGCCTCTCCTGATCAAGACAACTTCTGTTCCAATGCTGTATTAATGTTCTAGGCATGACCGGCTGCTTCAGATTAGAGCCCTCAGGTGGGGTTATGGCAGTGTCTTGCCAAGTGCTTTACGATTTCACATGTCTGCTGAAGACGTAAGTTAGCACTCTTGTTCAAATTTGTAAATTCGGAAACTGGCTGAGCTTCTGGCTCAGCTTCTATAATAGTACTTATAGTACTTGTCTTTTTGTTTTAACCTTTGATTTTCAGTAGTTTTTGGTCTGTTTGAGAATGGTAGTAGTAATTCTAAATGCTGTATGGAAAACTACTATTAACAAAATAAAGGGTCCCGTTATGTTAGTTGCTAGAGATCCATCAGTAGGGTGCAAAACTGGCATCATTATGTGGAAATTTTTCATAAAATATGTGTGTGTACATACTTTGCTTGGGGCTTTCCAGGTGGCACTTGTGGTAAAGAACTTGCCTGCCAATGTAGGGGATGTAAGTGATGTGACTTTGATCCCTGGGTTGGGAAGATCCCCGGGAGGAGGGCTTGGCAACCCACTCCAGTATTCTTGCCTGGAGAATCCCATGGACAAGGACCCTGGTAGGCTACAGTCCATACAGTCACAGAGAGTTGGACACGACTGAAGAGACTCAGCAGGCACACACACACTTTGCTTATCTTTGTGAATATGTGTGATGAATTCTTGATTTGTCCAGTCACTGAGGCACAATATTTAAGGACACAGGATTGAAGGCAAGCAAACTCGTGTGGAAATATTGGCTCTGCTTCTGTGAGATCCTAGGTAGGAGGCTCCATCTCTCCCTGTGCCTAAATTCCCTCATTTGCAAAGTGAAAGTCATAGCATCTGCTGCAGTGACTTCAGACACTAACTCCCTAGTTAGACCAAACCTCATAGGTTAAGACTGCCCTCACTTCAGACACCAGCCATGGTTTGGGGGTTCCCAGGGCCACTCTCCCTTCTGACCAGCTGGCTGCAAGTTCAGAGGTTCCCACTCTCCCCTCAGGTTTGAGGCTTTTAGCCTCTTGACATCATTGTGGAGAGGAGAGGGGAGCCAGGAGTAGGGCTCCGTCACCTGTGATTCAGTCCATCATAGTTTGATCCATCGATGCAGCCTATATCATGACACTCCAGACTTGTGTGAGCTTCCCTGGTTGATACCACATCATGTGCATTGTTCCACGGCAGCGTGCCGGGCGGGTGGTGTGTCCTGATTCCTCGGGGAGAGGAAATCAAAGCTTCACATCTGGGACCCTCCCAGACCTCACCCTGGGTGTCTCTTCCTTTGGCTGGTTCTCATTTGCATTCCTTTCACTACAGTACAACAGTGGACATCAGGACAGTGCTTTCCTGGGTCCTGTGAGTCATTCTGGCCAAGTGTTAAACCTGAGGGAGGGGTGTATGTGTGTATGTATGCACACACACACTTTACTAGTGAAGGTTATGAAGATGTTCTCTGTACAGTCTTTTTGGAGTTAATCTTCTTTTTTTTTTTTCACAAAGATATCCATGGTCCTGGAATAGATTTTTGTGAATAATGTACGAGCCAAGTTGCATGTCTGTGGTTGGCGGGGAGAGGGGGAGCTTTCTTTTGTCCTAGTCTGTCCTTGTACCGATTTCATACTGTTTAAATGATTATAATTTTGTAATACTTATTAATTAAGTTTTCCCATTTTGTTCTCCTTTCTCAAGTGTCTTGACTATTTTTGGCTTTTTGCATTTCCATGTAAATTTTAGCCTTATTTGTCAAGCTTGATATTTTTAAACAATCGGAGTTTTGATTGAGAATGACTTGGATCTATAGATCAATTAACATTATTGTAATACTGAATTGTCTAGTCCTTGAAAGTGGTGTATCATTCTGCATTATTAGGTACCATTGTGCAGAATTACCAATACCTACTGTTCTAGGTACCAGTGCTTTGTTCATAATAGGCAATTGATAATATTTGTAGTTTGAATGAATGGTCATAGTAAAGATGCATGTGGGCATCTGTGCTGCTTTTGAAAGGCTTAGTGTACAGTTTCTGCAAGTTTATTTCCTTACAGCTTTGTCAAATGGCCATCTTTATGTTTCCAGGTGGACTGGTTCAGTGGTTACAAAATGTCCCTTGCTACATTGGCAGGAGACCAAGGTTTGGACATCACACAGGATGTGAAACCTCCAAAAAGCCTATATATAGAAGTAAATATACCTTTAAAAAAGTGGGTGTTTCTTTAATGCTTAGTGTGTGCTTACTTTTGTCCAAAGGAGGGGGTATATGAATATATACTAGTGTATATAGGCATATAACTTGGAGACACCATAGGATTGGTTTCTGACTCACAATAAAGCGAATATTCACTAAAACATGTCACACAAACCTTTTGGTTTCCCTGCGCATGTAAAACATGCTTACAGTCATCTATTGAGTACGTCTTAGCATTATATACATATTTTATTGCTGAAAAATTCTGCTGTCTGACAATGCAGGGTTGACACAAATCTTTAGTTGTAAAAAAAAAAAAAAAGAAATCAATATTAGAGAAGCACAATAAAGTGAAGCACAAACAAGAGAGGAAACATAAACCCAAGCCAAAACGTTTGCCTGTAGTGGGAATAGGATTGAACAATTAAAAATGTCTTGCTGTACCTGTTTTTAAAGTTTTAACTTTAGAACCATGTAAGTATTTTACACATTGTTAAAAGAAAATGAAATCAAAGTTAAAAACCAACCCAAAACTCTCTTTGGCATCTCCTTCAGTTTCCTTGCTGTCCATGCTGACCTACACATATGTTCAGAGATTTGCCATTTTTCTTCCTCCCCATCAGAAGTGGACAGTTTGAACTTCTAGAATGCCTCAGGAAAAAATGCTAAGCCTAACTACACAGAGAAGACACAAACAGAGCCTAATGCTTACCTGTAGGTGCATGTACAGTGCCCAGCTACTGGATGGTTACTCCATAATAAAAAATAATGTAGATATTGTAAAACATTAGTTTTTCTTTTCAGGTGCGGTGTCTAAAAGACTACAGAGAATTTGAAGTTGAAGATGGTACTTCAGTGCTATTAAAAAAAAACATAGCCAGGGATTTACTGTCTTAGGATACTTTAACTTTTTAAGAGTGTCAAATGATGGAAATGTTGGAATCAGTAGTAAACTAAATATTACCTTGAGATGATCATTTGTGTCATAGACATTAAGTTTATCATAAAATATCCTTTTATCCTTTTCCTAAAAACTTGAAGCAGAAAGGGACAGTACAGTTGACCCTTGAACATCATGTAGGGATAATGGGTGTAGTCAGACTCCCCACTCCCCACAGGCTGTAGACACACGGGCTTCCATTGTGGCAGCAGGCAGACTTGGTAGTTGTGGTGTGTGGGCTCTGTGGCATGTGGATTCTAGAGTTTGTGGGCAGAAGCCTTCCTCTTGATGAGACTTTGTCTCTCAGTATCAGTCTGTAAAACTGGGGTAACTTAAAAGCATCATCTACTGTAGGGGACATTAAGGGGCCTCTGGCATGTCTGAGCACGTCTGAAGTACGTTTTCTATAAAATTTGTGTAATAGATCACCCACATAATGTGGAATATTAATAGGGAAACATTTTCCTACCATACAGTCCTTTATTCTTGACTCTATGGGGCATGTTTCTCATTGCCCAGAAATGAGAACAAATGTCTTTAGTAGACATTGGAATAACTGTTCAGTGAACAATTCCATCATTTTTCTTTTTTTCTTTTTCTTTTTTGCATTTCATAGTTGTAGGACTTAAAAATTCAGTTAAGTTAGACATCAGCCCTTGGCCCATGGGTCTTTATGACTGGTTGGCAGGAGTTTCTTTGGCCGTGGGTCCCATGCGAGGCCTTTGAGCTTGTAGAGAACTGTCAGGTGCATGATGCTGCTGAAATAGCATCTGCTTCTTTAAGTACTTGCTATACTCGCTTCTTCAATTCCTTTCTAGAGTTCTCTATGCTGCACTTTCTAATGCACTGTTTTTTCATTTTTACTCAAGTATCTATATCTGTCTAGTCTTTGAGATTCGTTTGGTCACCTGTGAGCTTGAAAAGTCTTCCTGCCTCACTCCCTGCAGCTCCCCATACCAGAATTTAGCAAATGTTCCCTTGTGTGTTAGCCTTGCTGTTTGGAAGGGAATGAGACCAGGAGATGCCATTCCAGCTCAGAATGAGAGCAGTGTGCTCTTGAGAGATATGGAGGATGAGCCTTAGCTGGGCACCACTTTCCTCACACACAGCATGTGGCCAGCATTCTTGAGTTACAAAGACTTTTCATCCTTGAAAAATATGGGAGAAGAGTTGCATTGTTAGTAGAGGAATGACTGTTCAGACATAGATCCTCGAAGAGGTTTAATGGAGAATACACTCCTTCCGTTTGCCTTCTTAGTGAACTGTTGCCACAGCCCTTGTGGTCCGTGGCCCAGATCACCTACCTGGCTTTCCTGTGTTTAAATCTTAAAATGTGAACACTGAGGAGAATACCTACTAGAATTCATAGGTCTTTAGTTTAAATTTAACCTAAGCAAGGAATGAATTTGTGTATAAAATTCAGAGTTTAGTACAGCTCTAAGTAACATCAATTTCAGCTGATGAAAATAGCAAATATACTTAAGCTTAGCATTTAACTCCTTCACTGGTGCAGTTTGAAATATTCATCATGTATTGCTGCTTTTTAATGATACAGCATGTAATTTAAAACACTTTTCATTCCTCTCTCTTCCTCTCCGCTCTCCCCTGAGCACTTTTTACCTTGGTGGAAGTACGAGCAGCTGATTAGACAAGGCGTTCTGGAGCACGTGCTGTGATGACCCCTGGCCGGATGCCTGCTAAGACTCCCTCCTGGTGTGAGACTGCACCAACCAAGGTCACTTCTCCACCTCCCTCTCTACCTCCCCAAGGCCCACTGCTTTTTGGTTCTAAAATGGAAACTTTCTTTAAGCAGGAATGCTTTGCAGAAGAGTATGGTTTGTTTTCTTTTTTTCTTTTCATTTGGATGTTAATTTCTCTTTTTTCATTTCTGAATATAATTCCATTACCTTCCATGGTAAACATATTTGTGAATCTGTGTTGTATGTTTGTACTTTGAAGTATCAGTTCTCAAAAGAGAGTTTGCACTCTGGTCATACAGAGAATCCACACACATCCACCCTGCTGTCCACAGCTCTACAGCAGAGTCCAAGGTCGGGGTTCTAGCAGATGCTGTGCTTAAAGAGAATGCTTCCTGGTTCATACACTGCCATTTCTCATTCTGTCCTCACAGCGTGCAGGAGGTTTGAGTTTCTATTGTACAGGATTCTCCCCTTTGTGTAGTAAGCTGTCTCTGTAATCACAGCGTCCTACAATTCCCCAAATGCTACCCTGTGTTTCAGTTTCATGCCAGTAAACACCTGTTAGATGTTCGTCTCTTTTAAACACTGAGGGAGAGCTTCACCTGGTGTGAAGGGAGGCCTCGTGTCCCTCTGCCTCTTGGATTGTTGATGGAAGTGTGCTGTGCAGGCCAGGGAGCTGCATTTCTCAAGTTTGTTTCCAAATCACATGGGCAGGTAGAGCTGGCGGTCTCTAAAGGACACAATGGATTTTGCCCATTTCCAGTGGTGGCTGGTCTTGCTCGTGCCTGTGTGCAAGCTTGTGTCGCAGAATGTCCATTTTGGAAAAGGAAATTGAGATTGGGGCTAGGAAAGGAATTTTGTGCAATTTCGCCCCAAGAGTCACATTGACAAAAAAGTCACATGAAGAGCTGATCAGCTAAGTGGAGGGCAATTTCTACTGTCCATTGAAATGATAGGCATCGGAGAGGCACAAGGGGGCCCTACCTGATGGTCAATACCCTTTCTCCACCAGTCCCCTCCATGACCAGCTCAGTAATCTAAGAGACATTCAAGTTTAAAACCCAGATAAACCCAGTACCTGGCACTCTGTACAATTTATTTCTTAGACGGGGATATTTCAGGCCAAAATTATACTCAAGTGGTCAAGCTACGGGAATCCTCTACCTAGGGTGTGGATCTGCATATTTTCACAACACACATATTAAAACTTAGGTCAGCAGGCTGCCCTTGGCAGATTCTTTTCCAAGCTGTGCGGCTCACAGGATCTGGTTCCTGACCAGGGATTGAACCTGCACCCTGGGCATTGAAAGCACAAAGCCCTAACCATGTACCTCTAGGGAATCCCCTCATTTTAAAATATAGTTCTTTCCATAGATTTATAGTCAGATCAGATTTTCATCTGAATCTCTGCCAGTAAACAATAAGGAAAATTTCTCTAGTGAATGGGATGGATGATGTTTTAACTGTAGGCCAGTGGTCACGTCCCTCGCATTCTGCTCTTCCAAGCATGTGGAACCATGTGCAGGGGAGCCCAGAGTCCATGTGAGTCAGCTGTGAGGAGGAACCTGCAGTAAAGGCCAATGCCCTGTTTCCAGGCCAGCATCATTCCTGTATATAACCGTGTAATGTACTTTCCTGATTCATTCCCAAAATAAAATAATAAGTATAGTTCTTATTTGAAGTAAATGTATACTTGTTGAAAAGTTAAAATTTTATAGGTTTTATTGATTTATGTTGGTTGGTTCTATAGAGTTGTGTCTAGAATTTTAAAATATATGTTTTTTCTTAATTTAAATGTAATGCACAATTAAAAAGATAAAAGAAAACACACAATGTAGAAAATCAAAGTAAGTTCCCATTTTACCTACTAAATGCCACCGTCCAGTGTGCCCATTGTTAACTGATTACGGATATAAAATGCAATCCCATTTCAGGTGTTTTTCCAATGAAATACTTTTCATTTTTTGTTCCTGATGTGAACAGAATCTTCTTTTCTGTTACATTTTCTAACTGGTTTTGGCTGATAAATATTAAAAAGCAGTAAATGATGATGATTTGGCCACTTTCCTATATAAAGTCATTCCTTTTTCACATTGATTTTGTCATCTGGAACTTTCGGAAAAATGTTGACTACTGCTGGTAATACTGCATATGTGTCTCTGCTTTGTCAGTGTTTTCAGTCATCTGTTCCTATGAAACAGCCATCCAAACACAATGGCTTTAAACCACACGATTTGATTGACTTTCCCAGCTCTGCAGGTTGGCTGGGCTCTACTGGGAGGTTCTGCTCTTACTTAGGGTCCCTGATGCAGGTGCATTCCTCTGGTGGCCTGACTGGGATGGCTTGGCCTCTGTTCTCCATGTGGGCCTCTTGCGAGGTTCTCTCCAGTGAGCTGGTTGGGCTTCTTACCTGGCAGCTTGGGACCCTGCAGGGTTAAGAGGGTAGATGTGGGTGCTGCTAGTTTTCTGAACGACTAGGCCTGGTAATGGACTAGCACCATTTTCTGCCAAATTCAGTCAACTAATACAGCCCCGGTTGCTCAGAGTCAGTGAAGAGGCTGCGTGGACCACATAAAGGCAGAACAGCAAGAGGCCCCCCAGTCAGATGGGCTATGAGTGTTCTGGTGTCAGTTTTTAGTGGTGCAAGTTCCTTTATCTATTTTTCATAGACATGTACCTTTTAAAATGGCATTGATACCTATCTAACTATCTCAGTATAAATCTTCTTTGGAGAGAGATACTTGATGATTTTTTCTTTTCTTTTCTTTAGTTTATAGTCAAACTTTTCTACTTTTTCTTAAGTAAATTTCAGTTAGTCTTTTTTCCTAAGCTTTTTTTAATCTATATTTTGAAATGTATTAAGGCAGTTTTTTTTTTCATTACATATGATTATCCCTAATATGTGTCTGTCTTTCCTTTCTCGTCTTAGCCCTATAACTGGAAGAAGTATCTGTATTGATACTGTATTAATCCTTTAGGATGTAGAGGAGGGAGGTGCTAATTTTATGTGGTCTATTGCTTTTCACAATTGGTGGTATTTTAGGATGAGTTGAATTTATTCTATTTTGTGACATTACAAAAACAATGTTTTCATGTAGAACAAAATGTAGTAACAAAGAAGGCAGACATCTGCAAGTCAAAGACAGAGGCCTCAGGAAAAACAAACCTGCTAATAAGTTTGATCTCGGATTTCTAGCCTCCAGAATTGTAAGAAA